AATTGAATGCAGCCACCACATCTAAGGACTGTAAACTGCAATAATTGTCATATTTTTCTTGGGTTTATTTATCCTTTAACCACTGGTTACCCATTCTTACAATAAAGAACTTTTCTCTATTGAAACCATCTTTCCTTTGTACGCAGCTGATGCCCCTTAGTTGTACAGCCCTTGGACTATAAATAACATATACACTTTTCACATTGACCTTGGATATATTTATACATGTTCATTAGGTCTCCTTTGTGTTATATTTCCTTCAAACTAAATTGTTTTTCCAACTTTCTATTATAAAGGGATTGAAGGCTTCATTCACCACTAGTTGACCTCCTTTGACCCATTTCTAGTTCCCCCATGACCTTCCTACAGTAAGAAGCTCAAACCATGACATAAAATGTGCATCTTTAAAGTGATTTATTCAGCGATAATAATATGTATCCATCACACAAGTAACATTTTCTACATTCATGTATTGTATTCGCTTTTTCAGCAATTGTTTGGTATTGAGTGATTCTATTATCTATTAGGGCTCAGGTACACTGCAGCTGCTAAACTGATGTTTAGGATCAGTTGTGCTTTTTTTTCAGCAGCCCCTGAACTCTCCTTTATGTTGTCCTATGTGTCCATGTACACATAGTCGTTTGCAGTCATTTACAGGCAGTTGAGTTTACAGGCATTTTCTTGAAAGCACAAAAATCGCATTCAGGAGTAGAGTTTACTGGCGTTTCAAACACCAAATGCTTGTAAATGCATGTAAACGTGTTTATGCATGTTTGCGTTTAGACGTGTTTTATGGCTGGGCCATATCCAGATGCTGTCCAGATTCTTTCTTCATCATCAGAAATGCATGCAAAGTGTTTTCCATATATTCAAATGGACCCGGTACACCAGAACAGTCAGTTCCAAGTTTCGGGTGAAGGAAAAAATGATAGAACGTGCTGCATTATGCTCATGATGGGATCCATAGTGAATAGTGAACCAAAAAAGACAGGTCATCTCAACACATACTGCTCTCTCTGCTTTTGTTCTCTCTATATCTCTCAAAATGTCTGAAATAGTTAATTATTTACTATTTTTAAGTGCATTCTGGGCATTTGGGAGGGTCTCCTGAGGTTATCTTTCAAAACCGCTTCTAAACACAAAAGCTGCTAAACGCGGATAAACTGACATTTTTAACCTACGTTTTCTAGCAGTCAGTTTCCAGCGGTCAGAAGATTTTTTCAAACGCCCCGTGTACATGAACCCTTATACTGTAATCCTTATCCAGCACTGTTTTCCACAATTGTCAGTTTAATGTATAGGAAACAAAGATTTTCCCACTACCTAGGTGCATACCTATAGATTTTTCTACTAAAAATATAATCAGTCATTTAGCTGCTTATCATGCCAGTTTGTTGAGATCTTTCTACAATTTTCAGTATAATGTTGGCTTTTAATAATCCTAAATAAACATGTGTTATTTAAAAAAAAAAACATGGGAGTGCTCATTAGAGCCCCCGCAGCCCAGTAAAACTACAAGTCTGTCTGCTGTGGTGGCTGATGGTATTTGTAATTTTACTCATTCACAGGAATATGTGAATGAAATGACGGGGCTGTGTGGTGGAGCCCTGAACAGCTGCGTTGTTTTCAAAAAGTTACAGTGGGAATGGGGTCATGGGGAGAGGGGACATAAGTTGAACATGTTGCATATTCCACCCTGAATACGGGTGGAACATGTAGCATGTTACAAAGGTGATCTTATCCTTTCAAGGGAATCTCTAGTGTTTTTTTATATATTTTCTTCATATTGCATGCTAAGCGAGCACATAAACAACTGAATGAGTCAGAGGAAGGATACACCATCTCCCTCTCACCAGCAGAGAAGGGGTCTGGTATGAATTTTTAAATAGGAATAAGGTACCATTAAGTGAGCAGGTAGTGAGTAATAGTGAGTAGGCTGAGGCATGTTTATTGATGCTTGCGTACTGTTAATTTTCATTCCAAAGGCTGGAAAGCATCACAAAATCGCTGTGAATGTATTTTCCGAAACCTGTACTATATAACTTTCACTATTTCTGTTTACTGAATCACCAATCACATTCAAATTTCCAAGAGAAAATCAGCTTATATGGAGTGAAAAAGAGTGTGAGACCAAAGGGATTGGTCATAATATAAAACTTTTATGTGTCACAATAAAAGGTGTTGACTGTTAACTCTTGATAAGATCCTTTTATTGTAACAAATAAAAATTGATTTCTAAACCATCGCTGTGGCTTGGCACCCTCATGCTTTTATTCCATACCGGCTGATTTCTCCAGAACCCCATTGGGACTTAAATGGGAAATGGAGAGCTGTAATGCTCCAACATTCATTTGATTTTTTTTTTCAAAATCTCATCCATGCCTAGAGTCCAGAACTTTTCAAAATCTCACCCAAGCTTGGAGTCCAGAGCTTTTCAAAATCTCATCCAAGCTTGGAGTCCAGAGCTTTTCAAAATCTCATCCAAGCTTGGAGTCCAGTGCTGTTCAAAATCTCATCCAAGCTTGGAGTCCATTGCTTTTCAAAATCCCATCTAAGCTTGGAGTCCATTGCTTTTCAAAATCTCACCCAAGCTTGGAGTCTAATTCCTTTCGAAATCTCACCCAAGCTTGGAGTCTAATTCCTTTCGAAATCTCACCCAAGCTTGGAGTCTAATTCCTTTCAAAATCTCATCTAAGCTTGGAGCTCATTGCATTTCAAAATCTCATCCAAGCTTGGAGTCCAGTGCTGTTCAAAATCTAATCCAAGCTTGGAGTCCAGTGCTGTTCAAAATCTCATCCAAGTTTGGAGTCCAGTGCGGTTCAAAATCTCATCCAAGCTTAGAGTCCAGTACTGTTTAAAATGTCATCTAAGGTTGGAGTCCATTGCTTTTCATAATCTCATCTAAGCTTGGAGTCCAGTGCTTTTTAGCATCTTATCCAAGCTTGGAGTCCAGTGCTCCACTATCATAATTCACATTGCAAGATAAATTTGAACCCAGTTGGTGGCTGTAAGAAATTATTAGTATTGACATTTTTCTATCAGGTTTTTGCTGTGTGAAAGACTGCAAAGTTTGAGAATTCCTCCCCTGCATCACAACCAGGGATTCCAACATTACTGACAGGAGCTGGTGCACTACAACAAAGATTGGATATAAAACTAAGCACATATTAAGTGTTTGTAAAGCTGGTTTTTTGTTTTGTTTTTTTTGTTAGGTTTTTAATGCTGTGTACGGTACAGAGATTCACCCTCTCAGTGAAAGTAAAGGAAAATCCAAAATTTTGATTTGCCACAAGAACAAGAATAGAGGGTAAAACTTTCCACATTTACATCTGTTCCTGTGACAACTGTCTGAGCCTGGGTTCACATATATGCGGTGTGGTGTATCACCAGGAACCGCACCCCATTCCTGTGCAAATCACATGTAATTTGTGTGCAGTGCGAATGGAGCCATACATTTTGTATGGCTTTAATCGCACCGCAACATCACCAAAAAAGGTGCAGGGCCCTTTTTTTGGTCCGCACTAGAATCGGATCACATGGGTATTCACACCTATGTGATCTGATTCTGCACATCGCACAGTGTTTTGCGGACCGCTTTCGGGGTGTTGCTAACTTAACATACACACCTGCAGCGGTTCGCATGAATGGGGTGCGAATCTGATGCGGTGCAAATTCCGCACCGCATCAGTGTGAACCAGGGCTAAGAAAGGGTTTCATTTAATGCAGTCATATTTTCTCACCTCTTGTTGGGTCTTTCCCAAACTGGACACAGATGGCAAAACCTAACATTTAACAGCTCCATTCAAAAACAGTGAGTACAGTGAAGGAACTGGTAGCTGAGGACATGGAATACAAGTTGTTGATCATTATATTTAACTATGATCAACTAACAATGCCATGGTCCCTAAAATGCTGCTCTGTCAGGACATAGAGAAAGAAAAACTATTACAATGTGCTCAAGCACTTTGCTGGCAACTGACCTAAATCAGGTATAGCCCTTTTCAGAATCTCTTTGGTGATGTAAGCATAAAATACCCCAGGTGATGAAGAGGTGATAGAGATATTGTATATTTTATTGTAGTCTTCAGATTGTACAATTGAGAATCAGTTGACTCTGAACCTCTTTCCCCCATGTAACTCATATATGCAACAGCAAAGATGGTGGTCTTTAATGACGGCATGTCGCAGATATGCATCCATAGGTGGCAGAGTTTTCTGGTGAAGAACATGTTCAGTGTGTGCTCCCGGCACAGTGACCAAAGGCAACTCTAAGTCTCTACTAATGATCAGGAGACATCAGGACTGGCTCCCAATCATGTAATCACTATGACAGCCAATTCAGCAGACTCATGATTGGCCAGTCCTTCCTGCTTCCCAGCTATGAAGACCCTGTAAAGGGATGCTGGATCTGGGTGGGAAGGAGTTAATGGAATGATCTTGGTGAAACTCATTTTGTAGCGAAATGTATTTCTTTGTCAGCAAAATTTCACCAAAGCAGAAATTCCAGTTTTGCAGATTGTGAGGCAAAATTCACTAAAAACATACAATCTATACTTTTTTTTTTAATGAAGTTTAGCCTCTCATTTAGTGTTTTTAACCACTTGCCTACCGGGCACTTTTACCCCCTTCCTGCCCAGGCCAATTTTCAGATTTAAGCTGTTATACTTTGAATGACAATTGCGTGGTCATGCAACATTGTACCCATATGAAATGTTTATAATTTTTTTGAGACAGATAGAGATTTCTTTTGGTGGTATTTAATCACCTCTTGGGTTTTTATTTTTTGCTAAACAAACCAAATACAACTGAAAATTAAAAAAAAAAACTTTTTTCTTAGTTTTTGTTATAAAATTTTGTAAATAAGTGATTTTTCTCCTTCACTGATGTGTGCTAATGAGGCTGCACTGATGAGCACTGAGAGGCTGCACTGATGAGCAGGCACTGATAGGCGGCAATGATGAGGAGGCACTGATAGGTGGCACTGATGGGCATTGACAGGCATCACTGATGGGCACTGAAAGGCAGCACTCATATATGGCATTGATAGGTGGTACTGATAGGCGGCACTGATAGGCGGCACTGACTGGCACTGATAGGCAGCACTGACTGGCACTGTTAGGTGGCACTGATAGGTGGCGCTGACGGGCACTGATGCACACTGATAGGTGGCGCTGATTGGCTGCACTGATAGGAGGCACTGACTGGCACTGATAGACGACACTGACTGGCACTGATAGTTGGCACTGAAAGGCAGCTCAGAAGGGCACTGATATGTGGCATTGCTGTGCACTGGTAGGAACTGATATATGGCATTGATGGGGCATTGATGGGCACTAACAGGTGGCATTGATGGACACTGACAGGTGGCACTGATGGGGCTACACTGATCATCAGGGCACACTGATCATCACTGCCCTGATGATCAGTGTAGATGTCCCCTCTGATGAATGTCGATAAAGTTGTATTAAACCCAAAATCAAATATTTATTGTATTGCAGCTTCTCAATTCTTAGATGTGATGGATGTATTAGGTTTTCTTTTGTAGGCTTCATTTCTTTTATTTTCACCTGGTGATCCTGCTAGTAAATCTGTTGTTTTTCAACAGAACAAGCTGTCCTGCAGATGTAGCAGATAGAGGGATGAGACAAACCATTTACCACTGACAGGGGTACTTACAATGATCAGCTTTAATTTATGTAAACCCTTTATCCAAAAAAAAAAAAAAAACCTGTTACTCAAACTGCTTATAAAGTATTATCTGGAGTTTGGCTTCAATTTGTTTGTGTATATATATATATCTGCTAGTACATCTAACACTTCTCCTACCCTCAGACTAACATTGTTGCTGTCCAAAGGTTCCCCCTGTGCTCCTTCATCCAGAGTGGAGGCACTCTAATACAGGAGGTGTGTTACTGGACAGATCACTGTGTGAAAGCAGAGGGAGAAAGCCTAAAAAGAAAACTAATGCAGCCATATCTAATAATTGATAAGCTGCAATATTACATTTTTGTGGGTATAATACCGCTTTAAATTGCATTGTACCCTTAAAAGCTCCTTACCTTAGCCTTTCCTATAGACTCCACTACATTTTGCCAAAAGTCTGTCCAAGATCTCTAGGTTCTCTATGAAATTTCAGGAAAGCTAAAATGACTAATTTCACATCTCTGTATTAGTGAGATGGATTCAATAACTAGGAAACACTTGTGAAGTTTATGTCAGATGGCAGCCTACAGTGTTCTTTTATTCTGTGTTGCATTATATTTTTTATTTTAAAAAATCTGCGCTGAGAAATTAATCTAGTATGACAATACATCATGAACATTTGTTTCCTTTACTTTAAACACTGTTGCTGGCAGCTGGTACTTTGCTGGCAGGGACTGATAGATTTACGATTCTTCTTTTTATGGAGATTAAATAATATACAGCTTGCCACAGTAAAACATTGTGCCGGCAGCTATGGATTGGATGCCACAAAAAATGCAACAGTGACTTTATGTCTCATACTGAGAAATGATTGTGTAACCATAAAAAGTTACCAAGTGCAGGGTGAGTTGTAAGGCCTGGTTCACACAAACTTTACTTTGTATAAGAGCACAGTTAACTGAAGCCTTTAAAGTATCATTCAGGTCCAGTCTGTAAATTTTGAACACAGATCCTAATAGGAGTGCTGATTGCCACTTTAAACAAACTGCTAGCAGGTTTCAGCACTACTTGAAGCTAGCAACTTGTTTAACCAATTCAATACCGGGCAATTTTACACCTTCCTGCCCAGGCCAGTTTTCAGGTTTCAGCGCTCTCACACTTTGAATGACAATTGCGCGGTCATACAACATTGTACCCAAACTAAAATTTTATCATTTTCTTCACACAACTAGAGCTTTCTTTTGGTGGTATTTAATCACCACTGGGGTTTTTATTTTTTGCTAAATTAACAAAAAAAGACCACAAATTTTGAAAAAAAACACACGTTTTTCTTTGTTTCTGTTATAAAAGTTTGCAAATAAATAATTGTTCTTCATAAATTTAGGTCAAGATGTATTCTACTACATGTCTTTGGTGAAAATAACCCAAATTAGGATGTATTTTTTAGTTTGTAGGAAAGTTATAGAGTTCACAAACTATGGTATAGATCTGAATATTGATCAATCCCGAAGTACTGACGGACAATCTAATTTCTTGAGGTTCAAGAATGTCAGAACAGTACAGATATCCCCCAAATTACCCCTTTTTGCAAAGTAGACAGTCCGACGTACTTCATAAGAGGCGTGGCGAGTTTTTTGAAGTGGTATTTTTTTTGTCATAATTTTTCGGAAAATGAAAAAATTTAAAAAATTAGTTTCACTATTTTTTTTTACATATTGTCACCAGTGCAGTACAGCGTCATCATATAACTGGCATGGCGGTGATCAGGGACACTGACTGGTGAAAGTATGAAAAAATATATATATATATATATATATATTTTTTTTTTTTATAATTATTTTTTATTTTTTATTAAATTTATTTTTTTTTTTTAAGATTTTTTTTCATATTTCACTATGACCAAAGTAGTACAATGTTACTATAGTAACATTGTACTACTTTGGGGAAGTGATCAGTAGTTTTTTTTTTTTTTTTTTTTTTTTTTTATACAATTTGCTTATAGCAAAGAATTACTTTGCTATAAGCAATCATTTACCTGAATGACATTGATTCATTCAGGGTTTTTTTTTTTTTTTGTGCTTAGCTGTGATTTGGCCACAGCTAATCACATGACATGTGCATGTGATTAGCTGTGACCATTCACAGCTAGACACTAGTATACAATGGATGGCATGAATGAAGCCATCCATTGTATACAACTGTCATGTGACCTGCTGTGATTGGTCACAGCAGGTCACATGGTACCGGCAACGGGGGCCGATACTCAGATCTGTCATCGGCCGTGTCCGAGGTACACAGCCGGTGACAGATCGCACCGCTGCGCGGCTCTGCAGGAGTGCAATCTGTGCATGTGCGGGAGGACGCCATATGGCGTCCACCCGGAACGCTGATGACATTTGCCGGCCGCCATTTGGCCATAGGGTGGGCGGCAAATGGTTAAAGTGGCAATCAGTACTCCCATTAGGATCTGTGTATAACTTTTTCAAAAGAAGCTGAAGGGCACCTTAAAGACTTACAGAACTCTGCTGAAAGCTTGCCAAAAGCTTCATAAATGTTTCATAAAAGTTTACTGTTCACACTGATCTTATACAAGCTGAAGTCCATGTGAAAAAGGCCTTAAAGCAGTATTAAACCCAAAAGCAAACATTCATAATATTGCAATTTTACCAATTTTTAAGATGTTATTGCTGCATTCATTTTCCTTTTTTAGGCTTTTTTTCTTATATTTTCATCTGGTGATCTGGCCAGTAAGTCTGATGTTTTTTAAAAGCTTAAGCTCTTCAGCAGATTGCATCAGTTTACATGCATAAGAAAAACCATTGAACACTGGCAGGGGTAGTTAAAATGATCAGCTTTTATTTTTTCATGTAAAACCTGTTTCCCAAAAGGAAAAAATGGTTTGCTGTAACTGATTATAGTGTTTTGCAGGGAAACAAAATGATTAAAGAGATCATGTCACCAAATTTTGAAAAAATTGCAGGTAAAAAGGCATAAGGGAGGCTACACAAGGAGTCTTCTTACAGGTAAATAAGATATATGAAGTGAATTAAATGCATTTATGATCTTGTGGGAAGATTGTTTCTGAAAAAGAGTGGTTTGGAGACAGGGTCCTTTAAAAGGAGAAAAGGTACAAAGTTTGCCAATTTAATTCCTGGAATGCCTAGCCCTATGGTAGTGAGTCACATAGCCATTCGCACTCAAGTGTGTTCTGACATATTCTAACATGCACTCACCTGGGTCACAGGCCAGTTGACTCCATCTTTATGGAGTAGCAGAAAGAACAAGCCATGTGTGCATTGCACTGTTGGAGGAAAATGATTATCATGAATCTGGAGCAGCAGACTAACATCATATTTTGCTTGAAATGGGCCAAAGTAATAGTGAAGCTCAGGGGCGGACTGACAACTCATGGGGCCCCTGGGCAATAGGGGATCATGGGGCCCCTGTGTCCTTGCACAAACTCAAAAAAGCCTATGAAAAAGGTACCAGCGGCATCTCATGGGGCCCCCTACTGACCCCGGCCCTCGGGCAGTGCCCGAGTTTCCAAATGGTCAGTCCGCCCCTGGTGAAGCTTTAGTTCTGTTACAACAGGCTTATGGTGATCATTTCATGAAGAAATCAGCTATTTTTTAATGGCATAGGCGGTTTAAGGAGAGGCGGGAGGATATCCAAGTACACAATAACGGTCAACCAACCTTGTTACTTGAAACTATGAAAAGGTTACAGGAATTTGTTCGGGGAGAAAAAAGACCAGAACCAGACAGTGGATTCTCCACCATGACAATGCTCCTGCACATAATACAGTAAGTGTTTGCTAGTTCCTTGCCCAGAAATCCATTCCAAAACTTGACCAACAACCTTATTCCCCCGACTTAGCACCTTGTGACTTTTAGCTGATTCCAAAAAGAAAATGCCTTAAAAGGACACAGATTTGATGCCATTCTGGCCATCCAGCGCGTCGCAGCAAAGATACAGCTCAATCCTAGGAGTGTGTCTGGCAGTTGCATAGTCATCTAGAAAAGTGTGTCTCTTCATAAGGAGATTACTTTGAAGGTGACAACAGCCGCTAGTATATAGGTAAGCAAGTATTTTGTTTTACAGTCCATTTCGGGAATTAAATTGTCACACCTCGTATTCTACACACATAATTGGTTTCCACATTGGCAGCAATGTTGCTCTAGAATAACATTTGTGAGGATTGTAACATTGTTGTTTATAGGTCTATGTGCCATAACGTGCGGTTTCTATAAAGCATCTTTTCTATCTCCAGGTCATTGTTTCCCGTCTTCTCTGCACTCTCCCAGACTTCTTTCACATTCCCCTTTGTAAAGGACAGTGAATGTTATATTCATGATGGTAACACAAGTCATTGACTTTCCTGCACAGACCCATTCCTGCTCGTTCAGGCTCTTGGCTTTCATTGAAAATGAACTAGTTGCCTAGAAATCATCAGGCCATATATCAAACAATATACGCGGAGTCTCAAGTAGCTGCACATAAAAATCTGAGACCAACATATTGTAATCATAGAAAATATGCAGGCAATGCCATACGTCTCCTGCCATCACAAGAGTCACAAATCAAACTGAGATTCTAAATAATATATGTGCAATTCACCCTCTAAAACTGAACAAAGGAGTGTGCATTGCTTCTCATCTTTATAGGAGAACTTGCCTCTTAACACAACATCCAGGAACACTTCTTGTAGATGGATACATACAGTGTTAACCCATATGTGATTC